GACTCACGAAACATGTAATGATGCCAAATGCAGGAGGATCACAGGCCAGTGGGTTGGAAGTCTTGTGGATCCAGTGGCGTTGTAAGCATCTCAGTGCTGGCAGGGGTCTCCACATGGCTTCTCCACATGGGGTCTATCGGCATCATGCCATGTGTCTTGTCAGTAGAGCATCTCTCCAGAAATGAACAGAGAGAGTATGTGTCTTCCACCTCCAAGGAGGAAATCCCAGAATTCTCAGGAGAAAGCCATGCCCACACAGAGGCCTCATTGGCTATGATCCAATTGAAACACTAGACTCCATCCCTTCACTCTTAATCCTTTCAAGTTTCAAATTGACAACAGATTATGTAACTACCACAACTGCCATAAAAGTGAACAAATATGCCCTTGGGAAAGTATGAACAAAATGCTCCTTAGAAAGTGAGATGTCAAGAATTTGTTTTATATACTGACTCAGTGCCACTTAATAACGAGAGTCTCTTCCTGTGGATCCATGTTGGCACAGTGATTAAGTGCTTGACTGTTCACTAAAAGGCCTTCCCTTTGATCCCACCAGCCCATCAATGGAAGAAGTTTGGGACTGTTTCCTTAGAGGTTACAGCACTGAAAACCCCTTGCAGCAGTTATTATAAAGAGCAGTTATTATAAAAAGGTGGATCAGTACTCAACTGAAAATGTCAGTGGAAGCCCAAAATCCATTTGCAGAGTCCCCTCATGGATTAAGCCCCTCTGACCACAGTCAAGGGATGTGAATAGCCTTGCTATTGGACAGAGAGCTTTTAAAAGTTGATTATGGCAGATGTAGTTGGGTTAAAATGTAATATCACTTGAGTCCCTTTTGACCCATTTTAAAGTTGCTTCGGGTCTTATATGTCCTGCTTTCTTTTTGATGGAAGTTTTTCTGTGTCTAGTCAAGGTTGCTGGCTTTATTTGTTAGCTTCCTGTTGTGTTTTGCTTAATTTTGTGTGTATGACATCTAGGAAAGGTATGTTTATGGAGACAGTCTCTTGGGCATGGCAGAGGAGTATGGGGGAAATGAGCTAGCAACAATGAGTACAAGAAGAAAATATTTGAAATTGATGTGATAATTGCACAAGTCTTCTTAAATATTGAACTATTAAGTGTATGATATGTGAAGTGTATCCCATTAAAACTATTTTTTTTCAAAAAAAACCCCACAGGGGCAGGTGTACCCTGACCATCGGGTCACTGTGTGTCTGAATTGAAGCACCAGCAATGAGAAGTATTCATTGCACAAGAGTTGTGAAAATATTGGAAAACCTGATGTTAGAACTGGTCACACAGTGCTGGGTAAATGCACTGAGGCCTGCTTTGAGAGTCCCTCACTAACCATGCACAATCCTTGTGCTTAGTATATTGGAGAGGATGAACTCTTACATAGTCCTTCGGATAAATTAACCCTTCAGTATTTAAAACAAACAAACAGAAAAAGAGTGAAGGCTTGAGAATACTTTGGGGCAGTTCTACTCTATCCTGTGTTGTCATTCTGAGTCCGAAGGGACTAGTTGACAAGGAGTTTGATTTTTTTTTAAAAAATCCATACCAATAAGACTGCTGCTCATAAACAACATTCTAAAATATCTGTCTTCCATTTAATTTTAAAGAACACTTATTAAATGCTACTAAATTAAGATGAGACAAGAACTACTTTTTATGGGAATGTAGTAAGTATGTCTGACTTTTAAGGCAATGGGTCTCAACCTGTGGGTCGCGACCCCGTGGGGGATATATGACCCTTTCACAGGGGTCTCCCGATTCAGAACAGCAAAATTACAGTTATGAAGTAGCATCGAAAATAATTTTACGGTTGGGGGGTCACCACAACATGAGGAACCGTATTAAAGGGTCGCAGCATTAAGAAGGCTGAGAACCACTGTTTAAGGCTTTTGCAGATGGGGAAGTGATACAAGAGGGCTTCACAAGTTCATAAGAAAATGGATTAAAAGGTAATATAATTTTTCCATGAGCTTTTTGATGTCACCTTGTATTTGACTTAATACTTACCATCAACCTACTACTGTATATAGGATATTCCAGTTATACTAAGTGGCTGGTCTAGGCT